GTATAGCGAACGCAGCCTTTTCCTTCAATGAATGCCAACGTCGCCCACATGCAACTGAAAATAAGCGAAAGGGGCACTGAAAATGAGGAAAATGAGATGAACACTATGAGGGACACCAAAGACAAGCATGTACTGCAGCTTTGTGACGCTGATCGTCCATGGACACGGGCTGCAGGCGCCTCTGAGCGATCCCCAACAGGAAACGTTGCTTCCAGTGGGCCGGCTTGGCGGACCAGGTCGCGTCGAACAACCAGCGGACTGGGAGCGCGGTGTGTGCAAAGCGCTTCGGATGCACACTTGGGCAGAACGGCATCACGAGAGAGCAACCACCACAGGGCTCGCTGCCAGCCGCCAATGCACCGTTCCGAGGTCCGCGCAGCTTTGGACACGGCACAAGAAAGAAATTTTTGGTTTCCTTGGCCCGTGATCGGCACATGCGTTTCGAAGGTGCGACGTGCGCATCTGGCCAACGCACACAATTCAACCAGGGAAGGCGGGGGCCATTGATGGCAGGCAGCCCCTTCTCGTCGCGCAACCTGCCCTCAAAGCTCCCGCCCCACATCCTCCACACGGTTTGTACGCATTGCATGACAATGGCGAAATGGTCAAATCTGTGAGAACCGACAGTCTCGGACGCGCCGGTCGGCAGCTGCGGGGCGCGCAAGGGCTCCGCCTCGCCCCCCGAGACAGACGCAGCCCAAGGGATAGATCCATTCCCCCGGATAGCCCAAGGATCGTCAGAGGGCCCCTCACCGATCGGCTCCGTAATATCCTTGGCCACGTTAATCTCCACAGCCGGCGAAGCAACGGCCCCGCACGCGACTAGCCCCTCTCCCCGCCACGCCGCATTGCACCTGCGCCGAAAAATTCCAGCCCCAGAGTGGTGGGCCATCCGCTCGACTGCGTTTGACGATTGTAATAAGCCGATTCAGGCAGCTTTGCAAAATCTGCCCAAGGGTGTGACCGCCGTGAGATCTGGGCTCACCGCCTTGGGCCGGCCTAGGCACAGGATTCGGAGGGGCGTCCTGGCTCAGGGGCGCGGAGCCTGGCCGCAGGGTAGGCTGAGCCGCCGGCTGGTCGCTATGGCTGCCGAGGGAGGCCGCCGGCGGTGTGGCAGGGGCTGGGCTCGCGAACCAGCGAAGGTTGGGGGGCGCTGGCGGGAATATGTGGGCCGGCGGAGGGTCACAACATGCATGCATGACGTCAGGCAGGAGCAGGGAAACCGCGGGGTGCGTGCCGCACACTTGCCTGGTCCGGCGTTTTTTCCTTTCCCGGCGCGTGGTGCCGACGTCTAAAAAACAGCCCGGCGGTCCGTTTTCCGTCCTTTTGTTGGGTGGCGGGCCCGCACCGTTGGCGGGTTGCGCCGCCGGTGAGCTGCTACCGGCTGTGTATCTCTCGGAACGGCTGCGTCTGTGCGACGTTTTGCTGCGTTGTTGCGGCGCTGCCGCGGTCGGCGTGCATGGCGCATTCCTGGAATCCGTCCACGGTCACCGGCCATTGACTTTTGATGTTTGGGACATCGATGGCCTGCCATTGATGCTGTCGTGGCTACCAGTGTCCGCTCTTTTGCATAGGCCCACCTCATAGTTGGAAAATTTGCAGATGGCGCTGGTGTGTCCCGCTTGCCAGGGAGTCAGGACCGCTGCCTCTGTATTGTGGCGGCGAAGGACTTGGGCAAGAGGCAACGGCCGCCGCCCTTCTGTGACGTTCCCTTGAGTGTTCCATGCTGCTTGCGAGCTGTTGGGCTCCAACATGGACGTGCAGCTCAAGGTGGCGACTTCTGGCTCCGGAATTGTGCGATCCACGGACGTGGGAGATCCATGTGCTTCGGGGCAATAGCCAGCAGTTTGACTGGACTGGAGGTGACTGGTGCATCGTTGGGTGCCCAATCCCTATCTGTGGTGTTGTGTTATAAAGGGGCGGTGATGATTGCCCTTTTCGCCTTCCACTCTGACTGTTGGATGACAATAGAGAAAACAGGGCACAAAAAACCTGAGCCTCAGATCGTTCCAGGCACACAATGTGGCAGCCACTGATTCTATGATGCTGCCCATGTGGCCCATAATGCATCTGCATGGTCGCTATTTGGTTTGTGCAAGGTAGAGGATTGGAATCGTCTCTGGCAGCGCGTCTTCCACAATTTGCTGTTGATCAAATCTTGATTACATGCACTTCCCTCTTATTTGGCTGTTCAAGCAATGCAAGGAGGGCTTGTGTTTGGTTAGCACGGTTGTGAACATTGCCATAATCGACTTCAACTCTGAGGGCTGGGTGATGATAGGCATGGAAGGGTAAAGGCAGGCTTAGCCTTCTTGCATTTGTTGCTCAGGCCATGCAGCACAACTGGTAGTGCGCCTTGCACTGACATTGGCCGGTGTCAACCCATCAACACTGCCAAATACTTGTGGTACAAGCAATGCTGCGGAGCACATGCCCTTCCTTGCCTTGTAAACTGTTTGCATGTGATGTCAACAGTTCAGACTTGGGCAGCTCAGATGCAAGAAAGGTCCCGATGATTGCTTGTTGCTACCTGTGCCTGCCAGTGCAGTCTGTGAAGATGTTGGCCATGATGATTGCCCTTTTCGCCTTCCACTCTTACAGTTGAGTGACGATAACAAGCAAGGGCAAAGTGCAAGCTGAGCCTCCACGGTTGCCTTTAGCGAATCGCGAACTCCTTCCCCTGTGACGCCATGGCAACTGTGGAGATTTAACTGTACACAAGACTTTATGCACCAAAGACAATCCACGACCCAGAGTTCAGTACATGCATGCAAATTTCTCTGTGAGAGAAAAGATTTCACCAAGTTTCTTGCGAATACATCAGCAGATCGTTGGTCGCCAGGTCGTTGCGGATTTTCTTAAGCATTTTCTGATTTGATAGACCTGGGCAATTGCCTATGTTACACGAGAGGTGCTGATGCGATAGCTACTAAAGCTGAGTATCAACAAAGTCTGGACAGCTGGAGGCACTGGACCCCAAATTACCGGTCCATACAGTGGTTGCATTGTGCAGCTCAGGACCAGTTGCCTTTGATCGAGCTGATGTGAATATGAAGATTGTTCTTTGAAGAATAGTGCAAGGGCAGCGTAGAAGGGGCAACCACCTCAGTGCAAGCATGCGCTGATACATATTGTATAATGGCATATAGGAGTTGTAGTGGACATATTTTCTTTTTTTTTATTTATCTACTGATGCAAGCTGCTTTTGGTAACCAAGGGAACATTTGTGGTTTGATGTTGCTGTAAGGTGCAATGATTAATGGTTCATTCCTCGAACTGACATCTGCTGGATGACAGATATCAGACTAAGACCAAGAAAACTTGATGAGCACCACAATGCTTCGGAATATTGGAGCAGGGCGAGAAAACAAAGTGTGTTGCTGTTTCTCCCCCAGGAGCAGCATTTGTGCACCAGCTAAGGGTTGGACTATCGCTCTTGAGCTTGATACTATTGCCCTGTCCAATGATGAGGTGAAGCCTTTGTCTACATGCTATGGTCAATCTTCTGAATGGTTGAAGAGAAAATATTCTTCCCTGGGGATGGGTACATGTTGTCGTGTTGCCACCGGCAGTTTCTGGGCGGGCTGTTTGAATGACCAAGGCAGGGATGCAGGTTATTGAACTGGTGTACTGTGCTGTGGATATTATTGCTCCTGGGCTCCCTTGCATACGTGTGTTCCATAGATTCCAGGAAATGCAGAATTGCAGGGGCGATTCCAGATTTTCGGCGGTGAGTCCCTGATGAGAACAACTATGCATCCTTGGCACTGATGTAATGCATTGAAGAGAACTGTTTGTCGAATTTTTGATGGCCAGCCAATGTACGAAAATGCAAATGCCATGAACGAAAGTGCAATGACTTGTCTTGTTTCCCACAATTGTAAGCAGTGAGTGATTGATTGGTGAAGTTTAAAACAGGGAATGCTAGGACGCTTCCTCCTGCGTTGACAGTAGGCTATTTGCCCTGCCAGCAGTGGTGCGTCGCATCACTAACAAAGTTACAGGCACTTTGCACATTTCCCAGGTGGTATGCGTTGCTTGCCGCTTCTGGGACCGCCACATGTCCTCCCCACCCCGATTCGAAAAGGAAAATACCAGTTGTCCCCAGAGTGCGCCATTTTGGCGCTTGCACTGCGCTGAGCCATGCAGTTGCGCCCGGCACTCAGTCTGGCAATGCCCCTGGGCGTCCCGCGGTGTGACGGACCGCCCTCTTTCGACCACGGAACAAGAAGGCATGTCACCACTCTGCATCGGAATCCGCAGGGTTGTGCACTGCACGCAGCCGCTCCCTTCCCTATCATCGCAATCAGAACGGACCCCAAACTCTGGGCATCCCATCCCCAGGCGCGCGCCACGTCTCTCTAACTTGACCCGTCTTGGTTGAGTTGAGAGCCGCGGCCTGTGTTCGTGTCCTGCTGCCGACCGCAGCAGACGCGCTGGAGTCCGGTTATGTCACCGGACGGTGTTCGCTGTGCGGCCACTGGGGTCGCCCTGCGCCGCTTTCCGCTTGCTGTTGCCGGCGAATTCACCGTAACGCCGTTGCACAACGTCCGCGCACTGGGCAGTGACGATGTGGGGAGCGCGAGCAGTGCCAATGGCATGACGACACACGTGCCCTCCTCCTCCTGTCAGGCACCCCAAGGGACCCCAACGGGGCTCTTGCTGACTCTTCCTCCTCTCGTCACGTTCTGCCCCTTTCCAGGTACGTTCCATCCGCGTGGCAAGGGTAAAACCTCCGCGTCGTCGGCTGTGTCGCGGGGTCGGAATGCGGTCTGGAAAGCGGCACGCCCAGCGCCCTCCCGCCACCGCGCCACGTCAGCGCGGGACACCGCGCACACGAGCCATTCGGGGCAGGCGCCGCGAACGCGCCGCCACCTTCCCTGCATCAACCTCACATTTACCCGCAAGATGACCTTCGCCGGATGCCCTCGGACCGCCATTCCCCCGCCCATTGATCGCCTTGACCCGCTGAATCCTCGAGGAGTCCACCCCGAGCACAGATGTCCCCGCCCCAGGCCGCTCGCATTCCGCTGTCCCCCTGGCGTGTGGCCGCCATCCCCGCGCGCCACGAGGGCCCACATTCCCCCCCCCTCCCAACAATAGTGGGAAAAGCTTTCCCTGCCCCACCCCAACCCATTAAAATGCCCCCGGCCCCAAGGCGCAGCCGCCGGATCCGCCCACCCCCGCCCGCCCCGCCCCCCCGCCCCATGGCCTCGGCGACGCGCCGATCGCCCGCGCCGCCGGGCTGGCACGCCCCCGCCAAGCATCCCCAGGCGTCAACGCCCTCCGCCTCGATCGACGGCGGGATCCAATCGCCGGCATGGCCCCCCGAGGGGCCGATCAGGCGGCCGGACGGGTTTCTGCAGACCACGGCGGAGGACGGACCCACGGAGCTGGCGTTCGAGCTGGGGCGCGGCCGGCTGAGCCTGACTTGCGACGCGATCGGCCAGGACGCCGTCGACCGCTTCGTGGATCGGTTCCTGCGGTTCATGGCGACGGGGTTTTGGGACGGGCGCCCCGGCGGGCCGTTCGGGGCATCGCTGTGCCAGCCGGGCGCGGCGGCCGCCAGGGGGTTCGTCTTCTCCCTCGGCCTCACCCCCGAGTTCGCGCTGCTGCTGCTGCCGTATTGGACGGAAAAAAAATGCGTCGAGGAGAACAGGGCATCGGAGCCGGGGAGCCTGGCCAGCCCGCAGGTGTCCATGCTGTGCCGGAGGCTGCAGCGGATGCCGTTCGGGACTCGAGCGGGGGACGCCAACCGGGAGGCGGGCGGCGATGCCGCCGGGAAGGACGGGCGGCCGAGCCAGAAGGTCGAAAAGGGCAGGCCAGGGCGACGGCCCATGCGCGTGGCGTCGCTTGAGGCCCTGCAGGGGAAGAAAATGAATTCCTTCTGCCGCGGATCCCGCCCCCGGGGGCCGGACCCGCCCAAGGCGGGCCCGCGGTGGCCGGGGTGGCCCGATCGCAAGCGTGGGCGGGAGGGATGCGGCGGCCGGCGGGGCCGCCAATGGAAGAAGCGGGGGCGGGGCAACGGGGGAAGGTGGGCGTGGGATGCGCCGGGCGCCGGCGGCGGCCAGAAGCGGTGCCTGGAGTGCGGCGCGGCGCCGCCCCCCGGCGGGGGCAGGAGGGCGGACGCCAGGCCGCTGGCCAAGCGGCGACTCGGCTGAGGTACTCGGGGCGCATGGGCGCAAGGGGTGGGGTGCGGTGGGGGAGGGGGGGTGGGGGGAGAAAAATGTCGCGTGTGGAGGAGGAAACAGAAACCCCGAGGGGGATGTGGCGCGGGGAGTGGCTCGAAAAGGCATCTGACTCGGCGGCAGATGGGCGGATCGCTCGGCTGCTCGGAATCCTTACGGAATCAAATCCGCTGGCCTTTTGGCGTGGGGAGGGTGCGGTGGGGGCATGAAATCGGTCGCTCTGTCTTTTCTGTGAAGACCCCTTGTTTCGGACAACGTAAGCCCTGAAACCACTGACTCGCTGCCCGACGTTGGCCTTGTCAGCGGAAGAAGACGGGGTCCTCGCGGAAAAGACATAGGGACTAATATGTGCTCGTGCGGCGGCCTGGGCTGAAGGCGATTTTGTAGATTTTCGGGGCCGTTTGTTGCAACACCCTGAACAGGGCGTGGCAATTTCCCTTGCAGTCGTTGGTTGCTCTCCGGCCGCATTTGCAGCACCACCCAGCACATGTGACAAGTGCAGAGTTGCACCCTGGAAGGTCCACACGGACCAGACAAACAACCTAGACAAGTGGCCAGACGGTGCCTGATTGGATGGCAGAATGCTGCGGCAGTGGCCGTTTGTTGCAAACGCAAGGTGCACTGACAGATGAACCAACTTGTGCATGTGCATGTGCCCATCACCACCTGCAAGGAGCACAACCCTGCTTTGACATGTGTAGCCAGGTGTGGTCAAGGGCTTGATATTTGAAGGCAACACTAACTTGTGTGGCTTGGCTGCAGGCCCGTCATTAACAATGGGTTCAAGAAGACCAACGGTCATCCTGAAACCGATTGGATTGATGCCCACGATTGGTTTTTGACCAAAAGCACTGGGCAATTTGTATAACACCCGAAGGGAAGGGGCAGAAATAACTTTTGGGGTCTGTGCTGCAAGGCTGAAGGGCAGAATTGTATATGTAGGGCTGGTTATTGTCGATTGTGCGTTTGTGTACACAAGGCAAACACACGTGGACATTTTGGTGGGCGATCCACGAATCGAGGGTCTGTGGTCGGCTGTGCAGGATGCCTGCTGTGCAGATGAGTGGATAGATTTCAAAAGGGGATTGAACAGAGCTGGTGCCAATGGGCTTGTTGAATCTTGATTCGGTTTGACTGCAGCTGCGTGGCAGCTGGGCCGATGGTGAATGTGCTGCTGGACTGTTTGAGTTGTGGTCATGATGTCAAAGGACTGTCTTTGGATTGGGGCCTTTGCAAACAAAGTCATTTTTCAGGCACCATGCATTCCACTCCGCGATCATCAGTGCATGCATCGAAACATTTGTGACCAGCCACCAGTGCCCATAATTTGAAGGGCACTGTTTTGGCCTGTGCAAGCAAAGGTAATCCAAACGGAGTTCAAAGGTCTGATAATGACAGTCGGTAAGGTCGCACGCACAAGTTCGAAGGTAGCAGCCTCAATACCATGCCACTTGTGTGGTGTATCGGAGTCCGTACTCCTGTCCACAGACAGAGCACAAACAGTATCCACTAACTGCAGGGGTGCTGCCGCCACAACGCCCCCAAGCATCCCCCTACAGTCCTGGCACGATGTGCATGGCTTCAGCACCTGGTTCTCCACATTTGCCTGGTAGGATGTGGATTCTCCAGTTCAAGCCGCAGTGGAACACCAAACTATCAGCAAGTAGCTCATCCACATCTTCAACATGCAAACCCCAGGCCAATCCCACCCCAGGCCCTTTTTCCATTCTCATATGAAAGGCAACAGTCTGTGATCAAGTTGTGCAACAGAACTGACACTTCGATGATACAATGCAAGGCGAGCTCTTTTGAGCAGAATATAAACTGTTGGCATGGAGAGTGACATATGGCAGGATGCACTGTAACCACAAGGCAGCCGATACTGCAGTCTGGAGAAAAATATACTCCAATGTTCCAGGAACTTGCGAGGGTGCAGTGTCAGTGAGTGTAGTCGTACATGACCATTGGGCCAGCCACCTCTTTCATCTTCTCTTCGCCAAAGAGCTGCTGTACAAGAGAGAGCGCAAACTCGAATGCCGTTCCAGGGCCACGGCTGGTGGTCAGGTTGCCATCAACAACAACACGGCTGGCAGCAGAGCTGCACAATCCAACATCGACGTATCAATGAAAGCCAATCGATCAACTAATCCATCTGCCATACTATTGATCAAGCAGTTAACCAATCAATGTGCACTTGATCAACGTTTCCACAGCTAAGACCACCGACCAAGCAAACAAACATATCACTTTTGACTTCAAACCGTAAAGACGCATCTTCCCATTCCAGGATTTTGGAGCATCTCTGTGTCCAAACAGGTAAGCGCATTCAGGCATGGCCAATGAATTGCTGGGGGTCAAGTTTGCATCATATGCCAACATCGTGCGCTACTACCCACTGGCACACAGCTCACTAGAAGCAAATGTTGGCAGCAATATCTCACCACACTAAGGGCCAATGTTATTATCATCGTTTGTTTATGCCAGTGGACTATAGAATCACTTGTTGGCTGAACAGGAAACACCAGCATGTGTGCTTTCACCACTTTGATTTGCATCCAACCAAGCCCCTTACATAAAGCCACACTCATCCAGTGGTTTGTGTTGACTCTGTTGCGGCACAAGGACACAGGTGAGGACCCCACTGTGACTTGCTATTATCCACAAATGCAAGCAGTGTGTGTTTGTGACTGCAACAACAGCAGTCTGTCTTTGCACCCAACAGTGTTGCGGCCTCCCTCTTCTGCCTGCATCCATATCTTGTTATGTCAACAATGTGTCGCTCTCTGGCTGCATTCAGATGGTTTCTTCTTCCCCACCTGTATCCAAATTTCCTTCAAAATCTGCGTCCCCTTTTCAGTAATGAATTGTGAGATGCATTCACAACGGTTGCCAATCAACCTACCTCTGATCAGCAAGCCTGTCCACAAATGCGGGATGTGAAGTTGCCTTCCTCCCATTCAACAGGTTTTGACTCTGGAATACCACTGCAGGCGATGCACAAATGGCAGCATACAATCCCTTGCGTGAGGCTTGCTCACCAAGCAGTTTGGCAAGGACCTCACTGTCGCGCAGCCGCTCAGCACCTGGCATTCCGCCCTGCAACTCATGCCAGAACAACACAGCTTCATGTTACTCGATGGAAAAGTGAACAGCCCCATTTTCTATACTCAATGTTCAATGGCATGGAAGTGTGCAGTCTACTGAGGTGCTGGTCACTGACATGTTGACACTGCAATCAAAGCAGCAGCCCGCTTGGTGAAAAATAAGACAGACAATAAGAACCCTTCAAATATTTGAATCAACTATGCGCATTCAACAATGCCAGTGTAAGAATCTGACACCGCCCATGAGCACAGGCAGAGCTGTGCCATACTTTGGCTCTATGTGATGACAATCGATATCAAAGACTGCACCACCTGGATCTTCAGGGACCCTACACTGCACATTGCCATGCCCTGTCAATCAAGATCTGACCATGCACCAGATGAGCAGATGCTTGTCACCACCTCGATGTGCTAGGAGAGTTCTCTGCTGTACATTTTGTGTCCCAACTCAAAGTCGATTGGCTGGGTCAGAGGTATTGTCATTGATGCCTTACTGCCGCAAGGAGTTTTAAATAACTAGCTGCATACCATCTCATGCGTTTAGTCCTACCACAATGTCAGGCATTCGTCACAATGTTTTTGGCATCTTGGGGTTTTTCCTTCAGTACAATATGTACTGTCAAGGACCAAATGTCAGTTCGACATGGGTGTCCAGCTGAGAGCTCTCTGTGCCTTTGACAAAAGCTATTGCGTGGATATCATAGCAGTGGGTAGAGTTATTGGAATATGCTCAATCGCTCCCCTTGTGTCTTCTCCAGACTGTCCATGACAAACATGCCAGTGGCAGCATTCATATGCTGCGACTGATAAACTTCCAGCAGCTGTAATTCCCAAGAGAACATTGGGCCATACAGCCCTGACAACACACACACACACACACACATAATGCAAGAATGGCTGACATGCATCAGGCTCTTTGTCGGTTGGGCAGGTTAAAACTCAGAAGTATGCCAGGATAAGGCGAAGGTGTGGCTGACATGACACACCAGCGCCTTGAGGGTGATAGGCAATGCCTTGTTCAACTTTTGCATATGCCGTGGAAATACACTTGCTTGCCACGTCTCAGTTGTTCTCATTGGGCCATGCATGGTGGCAAACGGTTGTTTGGATCATCGCTTGGGCGAGCTTCAAGCCTGTCATCACCTGCAGGGTGTGGGCTCTGTGTTCTGTCACGTGTGCACAAATGCAACAGGATGGCACTCAGCCATTGGGCTCACCGGGAGAGCGATCAGATCGTATTCGGTTGTTGCACACTCGGCTATATTGGCATCGGCAACAAGCTGCACACCCCTTGAGCAGGTGACTTTGACATCATCCTCAACGGATGCAACGGTGACCTACTGAACAAATGCACAACAACAAGTTAGGGAAATCCTCCACGTTTCTTTTGGCCAACATACGCACGTGCTGACATCTGCGGCTCTGTGGATGTGTTGGCGCACAAGCACTGTGCAAACATGGGAATGCACCATCAGCTGTGTGCCAACCTTCTATAGTATGTGTGTCAGTAACTGTATGTGACACCAGCAAGCATGCTGCCAGGTATGTGCATATGTCCCACAAAGAGGCAAAGCACACAATGCACTGCCGCACAAGGAGGCAAAAGGTCCTCTTGTTTTCCATTTCTGCCCATTTCGAAATCATTTATTTGAATTTCTATGACAACCTTTCGGGATCCTGAATCTAAGATGGACACAAGCCTTTAAAAGGAAAAAACACTTTGAAAGCTGGTGGAAGGAAAAGAATAGGAAACCGTACTTGGGCTTTCTGCACCTTGCTGCATGTGGCTGCCACCTGATCTGTGCATCGGGGGAAGTTTCAGACAGCGGCACTCCTCCAATATGGCCATGGGTCGCCTTCAGCCACCTTCATTGGGGCCACTTTGACAAACAGCATAGGACAACGGTTGCAGTTTTGATGCTGACCACAGCTTAAATCCCAGTATTGCCAATCCACAACTGTCCTAAGAAGCCAAGATTTCATTCGCACCCGGCAGTTCTGATGTTTTGGGGCTCTCAGCAATGTTAGCTGCCAAAGCTACAGGTGGCTAACAGACTCAGAATACGGTAATGGCCACAATGCCCAACCATAGCTACAGAATCTGTTGATTGCGAAGAGATGCAACCTCCATGGCAAAGCCATTTCCTGGAATGGACGCCATGCACAGCAGCAGACATCCGTCAAATTGACTGGGAACCCCTAGAGACTGATGCCGGAGTGCGCACAAAACAAACTTGCGCGCACCAATCTGCCATATTTCCAATGTCTCGGTTGCTTCCATTGAATGCTGCCCACAATCCGGGATCACAACCCCACCGCGGGCACATTGGCAGATTCGCATTCGCGCGTTGGGCAAACAGCTCCTGCTGGCGTCCGCCCGCCAGCAACTCGGGCCAACAGCAACAATCCCCCAATTTCCCTCTCCCTCGCATCTTTTAGCTCCCAACCTCCGCGCCCGCTCGCCGCAGCACGTCGATCGTTATCACCGCCTCCATCTCCTCCACCCCGTTGCCGACGGGCACCAGCACGGACTTGCCGGCGCCCGCGGCCACCAGCCGCCCTGCGCGCGGGCCCCGCGTGGCCCATGCCGACCTCGGGACGCCTCGAGACGGGGATGGCGGGAAAAGGCCGTTCAGCTGAGCAGGGCGAGGGCGGCAGGCTGCGGTGGCGGGGGTGTGGCTGCAGGACGCCATGGCGGACACCCTGCGGATTCGGCGTTGGCGCCCGCGCCGTAGCAAGCACCAGCAATGTTCCTCAGGCACCTTCCTCCCCCCATCCACTGCCCCGTCTCTGGCACATTTACAGTCAAATGTACCGCCATTGTGTACACCATGCACCAGCCACCTCCATCTGCTGCCTCCCGCATCTCCAGCACACACCTCCAGTACCCACGCACACAAGACCCATACCCCAGAGATGTGGCCTGGAACTTGGGTGCGTCTTTCCACACGGGAGTTAGAGGCACAGAATCATCGCCAGCTATCCGCCGGCAAGGCCCTCGTCACGCAGGGCAAGCAGAACAACACTTTCTCTTGCGCGTAATTGACATCCGTTTTCAAGCCATATCGCATTGCCGAAGATCGCGTTTCGGTATGCCTAGTACCAAAACTGGTCTTGCATGTTTGACACTTGCCATCTGCCTCGACAGGACCAACTCTTGTGATCTTCGACGCCTCCAATGCGCCATTTTTTTCTGCCCATGGGCGTTACGCATCGCCCCGCGTCACACACGCGCAGTAACACGCTCACACGCTATCGTAATCCTTGTGAAGCTCTTCAGTCCCCGCGCCTCTGTTTTAGGCGTCAGTCTGCCTCGCTGACCGAGCACGCCTGGGCGTCCAAATTTCCTGGATCCGCGCACCGTCGTTGAAAGAGGCCCCAAAACTTGCTGGAGGGGCATGTCGTGAGCCGCGCCGCACGGCGGTTGCGTTTGTCGCCCAAACCCAGTGGCTATTCCATTTTCTGTCTCTCTCTGACGGCGCTCCATCCAGGGCTTTGTCAGGATGACTGTCCCTCTGACTCCCGAGCTCCTGCGCGAGCGCCTCGAAGAGGCAAGCCGCACGTACAAGCTGAATTGCGGGTGAGTTGCCCTTGCTGCTTGCTTTTCATTCTCAAACTGTTGCGTCGCATTGGGAGCCCAGTTGCAGGCCCCGTCCTCAGAACACTAGGAAAAATAGGGCAAAATAACACATGTTCAGGCGTGTACAAAGTTTACGGATTTGGGTTATTTTTGTGTTCTTAGCGTGCAGAACCTTGATAAAATGTGTTTTATGTGTGCTCGCACAAGTGTTATTTGGTCCCAATTTTTGCCAGTGGAAGGAGGCTGGCGCCTGAGCGCCACTTCACAAGTTCCTTTGAGGAAAATGCGAATTGCTGTTATTCAAAAACGTTTATCACGGGAAAGGAATGGGGAAGTTCAAAGAATTGAAGTTTGGAGTTCTAGACGCGGTGGGGCATGTCTTGTTGTTCTTGAGTAGATCGCATGGATCAGACGGTGGAAAACCTTTGCCACCCTTTTGGGCTATTGAATCTTCTCGCAGATGTGCAAGATTTGAAACCCAGTCCCCAGGTGGGGTATCTGAAAATGTTTCGATACGCAATTTTTGATCGGAAAATATGAGTATAGGATCCCATTTTGCCCCTTCATTTGAATCGCTGCCTTCAATCAGCGAAAGTCAAAGGCATTTCCAAATCATGTGTAGAATGCGCATTGCAGAAGAGAACATGTGTTTTGATCAGCAATGCCCTTTCTCGAATTACTTCTGCACCTGCGTCGGCTGCTGTTATTCCAATCTGAAGCACAGCAATTGTTTTCGCAAGCAATAATTGTTGTCATACAATAACTGTTATAGTTTCTGTAATTGCGGTATTTATTCCCGTGCTTCAGACTCACACTTGAAACCCCGCAAACATACCTGCCTCCAGTCGATTTGAAAGCTTTTGGTTGTATGGGCGCTTCTAAGCAGACGCATACAGGCTCGTATGTGGTGACATAGATTAAGGCTTAGTAGTGATTCAGAGACTAATAGGACAACGCGAGATTTGCATCAAATATCATGGTTGGAGTCGGACTTTAGACGCCTTCCTGACGAAGTGGGCTCGAATCCTAGAGCACACATACTCAGACTCGTAGCCACTTTCCCAAAGGTGTTCGTGGCAGATTCGCAGACGCGCTGCTGTCTCACTTCAATGAACTCAACGTTGTCACCTGAAGAAGTACTACAATACAGCAGTATCAATGCTCGTTTGTACCTAATGTGGAATACTGCAATATGATGTACAGTTGTGATTTGAACTAGCCAGTTGTGACCGTTTCAAATGTCCTCACAGTATGGCTTCAAGAGTTGCGAGCAGGTCAAAAAATCCAATCCCCACATCATCGAGCTGGAGTTGTCCAGGTGCGGCTCCCTACTGTCTCTACTGCTTTCTTTCTGAAATGGCTCCTGATGGCGCTCCTCGCTGCAGAAAACTGGCGCGTCGATATTCATGTGCGGCACCGCTCTCGAAATCGTGCAAGAACAAGAACGTGGATGACCAAATCAAGACGCACGCCTCTCACTCCTGATCTTTGTCCACCGCCGCGCAGCAACAACCTCACAGATTTGCCGGAGGACCTGGCAGACTTTTTCTACCTCCGGTTGTTGCGGCTCAAGTACAACCAGCTCAAGAAGCTTCCGGGCGTGATCGCCAGCTTCCGGCAGCTCATGGTGCTGGAGCTGAGCGGCAATCAGATCAACAAGCTGGACGATTTCGTGGCCCACTTGCCCCACTGTCGGGAAGTGGACCTCTCCGGGAACCAGCTGACAGCCATCCCCGAAGCCATGTGCGAGATGCACTCTCTGCAGGTGGGAGAACGGCATCACCGAAAGTGCCTTACGCTGGATGATACGGCTGTTGGGGACAGCGGCGAACATTGAACATGCACACGTGCACAAATGCCGAGGCATCTCGGATTTTGTCCATCATAAGCTGCCACCTCTTTAAAATGGTATGATCCAAGTATTTGGCGCATATTCAATCCGCTAGCTACTTATTACCTGTCGATTTGCTACATATTGTCCAAATTCTGTACGGTCAGGTCTCATAATACACTATAATAACAAGCAATATCCATTCCATTCTCACACATTTCCGTTCAGCTAATTTTGGCATTCGATGTCGATCTTCCTCCATCCCACGCAGCTCAGCGCATGTTTCTGTCATGGGCTTCGCATGGATTTTCCTTGCTTCGTGGGAATCATTGAAGATCACGCGATTCCATTGTGTCGCGGCTCGGTCACTGGACACAACCAGTTTAGGGAAAAGGGTGACAGCTATAGGAAACTTCCATTCCCGAGCGTCCGTTCGCGAACCTTTCAGCAAAATTCACCATAATTCCATGAATGTGAAGTGCAGAGAATTTCCAACTCCATTGCGCGTGTGTACTTGAACGGGAAGTGTCAATCCGGACAACAACTCTGTTCAACTCTGCGCTGGTTGCGCTTGAAAGTCAGGTCTGCTCCTCTGAGGTGCGTTCTTTATGTTTCCAGATGCTGCAGCTCGAGAACAACAGGATCGAGCAGCTTCCAGAGAACATGGGAGACATGCAGTCGCTGATCAAATTGGATCTGAGCACGAACAGCCTGAGGACGCTGCCGCAATCGATGGGCAGGCTCAAGAAAATCCAGCGCATAGATTGCGCCAACAATCTGCTGGTGCGTGTGCCGCCCTCTATGGGCGATCTGAAAACTCTGAAGGAGCTGAACCTTAGGTAAACATGACTGAATGGTGCACATTTTAAACAAGGTTGCAAACAAGGTTCATGCGTTTGCCTTCATGATGTCTTGCATTCTTCCCGGTCGAATGCCAACCAATCAGTGGCTTTCGCCCTGAAGTCCATGTCCGATGCCAGCAGAAGCATGCAGACCACCCGTAAAGGGATTAATAACTCAGGAGCCATATATTTATGTATTATGTCAATAAAAGAAATTACTAAATGGCATCGGATCGAAGTCCGCAATTCTTCCGAAGTTGATGATACAAGTTCCATTATTATGGCCAACAAAAAATCTCCTGGCCATTGATGAGTTCAAGTCACCATCCTGCAAGTTTCCTAATACAAGTGAAATCAGAAAGGACGTATATTTCTTACTACTGCCATTGCCTTCCAATTAGTATTCTTCGCAACGCAAATCAAACTTTGGTTTCCGTCCTAGCAAATGCGGAAGGCCTATGTTGCAAACACCAATATGATTGTTATGGACATAGGCCGCAGAAGCTTCCCAGAATTCTGTACGGATTTCTGTAGCGGCAAACACAGTCCCAAACACGATCCGGTGCGCTCTGGCAAAACGTTTTTCCTTTAGTGGACATGGAAATGGGCAGTCATGCAAGAATCTAGGTCGCTCTGGTATTGCCAACGACACTCATGCACCAGGAGATTGATGATCGATCGTTGGAGATAAGCACCACGTAAGAGAGAACCCCCCACCCCCCCACCCCCCCCCCCACACACACAGCAGTTACCTCTTTAAAGGCCAGTTATTTGCCAAAAAGAAAAAGGCGTTCTCAAATCTGATCCACCCCGCGCTCCACGTCATCTGGTCCGGACACACTGGCGGCGGGAAGCTGCCCATTTCTCTCCATCTACACATATGCAGAAATTCTGTTAAATGAGACTAGCTCGTGTGCTTGAGGCTCATCCGCGGGTAAATGATGGAAAGTCGTGCTGTATTGTTGTTGCCGTCTTTTTTGTTTTTCCGCCTGTGATGAGCGAAAGGTCATGACCCCAGCGTTGCGATTCCAGGTACAACAACCTGGACGAGCAGTACCGCGCAAAGGTGGAGGAAGGTTTGTCCAAATTCTTGGCCTTTCTGAGGGAAGAAGGGGAGCGGGAGAGGCTGGCGGAAATTGAGCGCCTAAAACCCATCGGCACACAGGTGGGCGCGGCTGTTGGACATGTCTGTCCATGCACCCAAACGCACTATCCTTGTCACCTGGTGAGCAACGGAGCAACGGACCAAAGGAGCAATGGACCAAGGTGGCAACGGAGAATATTTCCCCACCATTGCTTACCCATTTCCACACATTTGCATAGCCTTCAAATTGGTATTTAAAGGAGAAGCTCAATTTCTTAAATTACTGCTTGGTTGCCCTATGCCGACAGCAATATTTAATATTGCAAATCTTTACTGAATCCATTTTGTTTTTCAAC